ACCAAGCCGCGAGTCCTTTTTTACGAATGAAGGAGCGATGGCGGAGACTGCCTTGCGTATGTGGGAATCTGAATACGACCAGCTGCTACTACGCACGTCGGCGTGATGACGCGGTCTTTGAAGTCGATCCCAGATAAAGGTATAACTGCAGCGCTACTGATGACGCCCGGCGGACAGGGAGGAACCGACAGGTGACAGAGCACGTGCAGCTGGAAGACGAGACGAGTGGAACCACCAAACTTCGAGGTTTATATCGCGTTCACATCAGGGGGGGGGGGAATGGCTGCCCTGCATTCAAAGGTCTCTTATCACCTCGAAGATGACTTGACAGTTCGACCATCGATTTCGATGATGATTTACCACGTTGGCGACCATCGCTGTTCGGCTCAATCGTAAATGAGTTTTGAGTTCGTCTTTGAGCCTAAAACTGGAGTTAACATGCTTGCCTCTTGTTCTTATCCGTAACTGAAATGTCCGATGAGGGGGGGGAGAGAAATGCGAGGTACATGCCGGTGGACCCTGACTTTGACGAAAACGGGGTTTGGTTAGAAAAGGACCAGGAGAGGTTTGGTTCGCTGAGACTGGCAGCGATAGACATAACTGTAAATGCAGCTAGACTCTGCAGAACGCTGCAAGCCAAAATCTCGAGCTAGACGCTTCAGTTAGCCCAGAACGTACGGACAAATCAAACTGGGCAGGTCAACTGCATATGCGGTTTGAGAGGGGAGGCAAGTGACTTGAAGTCCACTGGCGACAACAGATATCCTTCATAGGTCGCCGATTAATTGAAAGGCGGACTCTGTAGGATTCCCAGATTTCAAGAACCTGAAACAAATGCAGAGAGAATTAAGACGCAGGTCTCCCGCCTTTGCACCGGGTAGTTGGCACGCCTGTGGACTATGCAGACGGCACTTTCCCACCTCTAACTCCCAAGAAATGGGCACTATTCCGTCAGAATGACTGTTCCGCTAGGATTTCAAGACAAATCTCCACTTCGGAAGACAATAATCTTCGGCACGCTATCGTGGCGACGGCTTTCTCGTCCCTCAACTTGCCTTAAGGTCGTCTTGCTCTGGCGGTAACTAATCCCCAGGCAAGTCACCGAGGATCGCCACCTGACAAAATCCACACCAAGAGTTCTATTCGAAGACATACCAGCCACGTTGTCTAATTTCGCCTCGATTGCCTCATCTACCTTATACACTGACCCGCAGCCCAGTACGGGGCCGTCAGGGCATCCTTCCATCGCTAGACAGACCGGTCAGAAGTTGGCCAAGTACGTCTATAGAGGATAGTTCTGAATAGGTAAACCTTGAGCGTCGCCATGAGCATGATCCAACCCTGTTCCGGAGGACATTAGTAGAAGTCGTGCATCTTGTACGGAAACTCGGTGGTTGAAGCCTTCGACGCTGGATCGGCTGTAGGCCCACACACACATCCCCGCCTGGGTGACTTGAGGGTGTGTGAATAAGCTCCATGCGAGTCAGTGCTATCTTGGTGAGCCGACTGGGTGACTGCGGTTCGCGGGCGCCTGTGTTAGCTGTCTTCAGGAATGCATGTGTGCAGGCTCCAGCCCCTTGGGAGCCGTAACCACATTATAAACGGCGCGAGGTGTGCCAGAGGCGGGGGGGCCTGTACGCGTTTCAGGCACTACAGGCCCGCCAGTCCACCCCGTGAGAAAAGCCCTGGCGTATTTGGCGAATCAGGTGACAAGCTCGGCCTGCGTCGGGAAATTTGGCTACGGACAACGGCCAGGCCAACATTAAATATGTCCTTACTCGATATTGTAAGTCGTGCTAGCAGTAGACCTACGAAACCGGGCGTCCAACCTTGGTCAGCCAGTAATTCAAATATAAAGTATCACGAAGGTACTGCCTCAGTGTTAATGCGACTGTCATGCTAAAAACAGCTCCCCGAACAGAAATGCCCACAGTGAAGATTGAGATGTACACCATTCAACGACAAAATACCGGCGCGAAAGGTGTCCCACAATTCAAGCCTGTTGAAGCTGAGGCGAAAGAGGAACTGTTATCGCGGAAGATAACTAGTTAGGTCGGCCAGAATAGACAGCAAGGACCGAGACAGAAGTTGTTGTATATGCCAAAATTCACGGCGAGCCTGAAAGCCTTTGGGAAGAGAAAACTAGCTTCACAACTCGGTGAATAGGATGTACAGTTTAATAATGCGATGAGACTGAAGAGAGAGGCTATACACGGAGTATATATATATATAAATATATATACGCTGAGAGAAGGTAACCTTGGAACAAGTACAGAGCCCAATATATACTCGAAAAAGAATCTGAAATTAAGTTTATGTACATAGAAGTAGAAAATATCCGAGTAATAGGGGACTGGAAGTAAGGAGAAGAATTATTACGAAGTAACTGTTGTTTTTTGTAAAAGGTGCAGAGTAAAAAATATCAACACCCCGATGTTGGTAGTATACTGTCGCACGTCAGATAGGACTGTACAGGTGGGGATAAGGAGACCAGACAGCGGAAATAGTCTTAAAATATTACAAATGTGGAAATACGAGAAGGCTCTCTCTCTCTCGGATAAATGCTTCGTGTACATATATATATATATAGAGGGGGGGTCAGATCCGGTTTGAGAGGGTTTGGTTGACCTTGAACGTCATCAGCCTGACAACCTTTGTGGGCAGGCGACGACAACGACAGTGTGCGAGCGGGGACTAGGACGAGGAAGCTGAAAAAAAGATAACAACATAACGTGGAAGTCGTTGGGACGGCTGAAAGTGAATACTACCCAATTCGAGCTTGCATTAGACAGAGTCGGCAAAATGCGTCCAAATGAGTGAACTAAGTCAAGTCTGAAAAACAGGATAATGGAGGACATTTTAACGTCTAATGTGCTAATACTAGTGTCCTCATCATCTACACTGTAGCTCGGAATCACATTAACGAGTGGTTACGGGGGAAGTAGCAGTGCATTTTGCGAAAAAATCGTTTTGGAGAAGGCTTCCCAACAAGCAAGGATGGCCGAGCTTGGTAGGTGCTCGTAAGGTGATTCCACAAATCCATCCCGTTAATTCTTACAAGCAGAATTCTTTGGTGTTCACGCCCTTATGACATCAAAGTGTAGCAAAGACTTCACGAAACCCCGAAGGTTCCTACATTTCGGCCCCCGCAGGCAACGTGTATGACATTTCTGGATCAACTCCACCTCTGACTTCCAATAAAATCGACAGTTAATATGCGAGTCACAATTATAGATCTGCTGCATTATTTTATCAGTTGGAATTTTCACTGGCACCTGACGCTTTTGCCGAATAATTAGACGAGCTAGCGAAAATTACCGACTACGAAGACGCCCTCGCTGATTATGTAATGCTGGTTGATCGGGGTCTCGTCTAACGAAGTTCAATGGGGGCGAGACCTTTCGCGTCCAAAAATTCAAGGCATTTGAGTCGGTGCGGGGAGTACGAAGCAGTTAGTAGCGTAGCCGGTGGAAGAAGAATATTCCCAGCTTAACTCCAAAAAAGAAGTCGGAACTGACTAATTTTGGCATGAAATACGCAGAGGTCCCACTAAAAAGGCATTCAAGTTGGCTGGAGTCATTTGAGCCGAAAAAGCACTAGTAATAATGGAAGGGCATCGTGCAAGTCACAAACTACTGGAAACTGCAAAACAGAGTCACGCACACTGAACACAAATTTTTCATGACAAACGAGAAAGCTTCTAAAAAGCTCCTTAATGATTAGTTGATTGTACTTCTGAGAAAAATTCAAGCTATGTCTAAGTAAACTAAAAATTCTGATGTGAAAGTGTGCTAGCGAAATTGATCTCAACTAGACTGACAAAGACAGGGGGCAGTCGGACACCTACCATGACGTGGGACAAAAATATCTCGTGAATAGGGGCCTAGAAGAGGAAGACCCCCGTTGGGGACTGGGACTACATCGTTCCGAAACCGTGACTGCTCCAGAATTTTATCACCTGACTGCTGCACAGATGAAGTCGACGACCGACCTTTGGTGAATCCAGATGACCCCGCAGTATTGCCCGAGGCGGTGACAACCGAAGTCGAGTTCCGAGTAAGGTCAAGCTGAGCGCGTAGCTGATCACGATGGCGTCGCAGGGCCTCTTGAACATTCTCTATATTGTCAGTTGAAAGGGGGTAGGATGAGTTGGAGTAGGCAGGTGGTTTTGGAGAATGATTGGGACCAGACGAGTCGCTGTGATGACTACCGGCGCAGCCGCCGCTAAATGCTTGCTTACGTTGGGAGTCTAAATGCAGTCCAGTGTGGTGATGGTGGTGGTAATGGACGAGTTGGGGTTGGGAGTGGTGGCGCAAGGACTGCACAGAATTCCGGTTCGCCTCCTGCGAGGACGTCGAATTCCGAAGACTACGCTGTTCGTGAGGATACGGACGATGCTGGGAAGTGGAGGGTGGAGGAGTGAAGTTGCGTCTTAGAGAGTGGGCCTCTTGCCAGACTCTAATTTCCTGGTCGCGTTTTAGAATGGTGGAAAGGGAGTCGCTAGTAGTGCTTGACCTTAAGCTGTTCCTAGTATACTCCGCCGACTGCGGTGATAATCGTGAAGATAGTTCCGACGATTTACAGGAATGTTCGCTCCAGGAGGGCAACGGCGGCGGTGAGGGTGGCAAGTTATTCTTAAATTGGTCGTAGGTCTCGAAGACAGACGTGGAGACAGAGGTACGTCTAGTAGGAAGGAATGAATCGTCTTCGCGCCGAGACTGCAGCTCAGAGCCCAAATCGGCAAACGCGCGAGACGAGCCAAACACAGCGGGATTGACACCAGGCAACTAAAATGAAACAAAAGTTGAAGATGCATTGGCAAATTGCCAGGATAGGCTCAAGAAGGTGATAGGGAAAGTTGTTCCGGTTTAACCAAGGCAGATGTTGACGCCAAGCCAAGACATGTAGACAAGCGTTCAACTACCCTGTGATAGCAAAGTGCGAGCAACTTGAAAACATACTACCGCAGAAGGTCATTAGATAATGGTCTCAATGCGATCGGGTCACTGTCTCTCGTTAATATTTTTGTAGTTGACATTTTATGGCAATTCAGTAAATGTGATAAGGGATTAAACCATAAAAAGTTATTTCGTAAATTCCAGGGCAAGTGGACCCCCTGGGGTACACGATTTCAGGAGCAACGACCACTGCCCCGAATCTCCCAACCAGTAGAATGACAGGCCATTGGAAATGTGAAATTGATAGCGAAGTACCCCTCTGCATGGCGGGTAAGGACATGTTCCTCACGGTAGGGGCCCTGACGCGCTTTTGTGCCATCACGATTGACTAACAATCAAGGCCTGGAAAGGTAGAAACGACTTGAGGCAGGCGTTGATCATGTTGACAAAGTTAAATAACTCACCAGCACGCGCCACACTGTTCTGGCCCCCTGAATCTACCTAGACCAGTCTAATGAAGAGTCCCCGATTTTACATCAGTGATTGCCATAAAGGTCACACTATAGTGTCATTGAAGTCTCACGCTTCAGAGATATTTCGAGTCAGCCCGTTAGCTGGCAGACGTTCGACCCACAACAGTCAGAGCAAGAGAATTAGTGGTTGCTTAGTAAAGAAAATAAGCGTTGAAATTAAATAGGAAGTGCGCCTCTCGCTCTCGTAATTTTCATACCACCGGCACACCGAGGCCGAGTAGCCCGGAGATGCCACTGGCCGCCCTAGCTGACGATGCATAAAATCCCTGTCTATCGTGTGGGGAAAGGACCAGATAACATTACAGACGATGATTGGGGAGACCGGGATGGGCGTTTCTGACCTATTAGTCCTCACCAGACAACCATGCCCAACCGCAGGTTTTGCAACCCCTGAGGCTCAAGCCTTCGTTCTGTGGTTAGATGTATAACGCCCCAATCACTGAGTCACGGGCTCCTTGTTCTGCCGGTTGCGATCGGGTATACCCATAATAGTACGGACAGCACTCACCGATCTGCTATGTGACACACTCGTATCGTCGTGTCTCAGGGTCCAATCTAGAGCCCAGCCAGCAGTCGCACAGCGGTTAGTGACATGAGAAGAACATTAGCGACTTGGTTCAGTGGTCGGGACGTTAGATCTGTAGCTGGCAGTACGCGGGTTTGAACCGAGGTTGCAAAACATCGGGTTGGATATTGCTGACTGATGACGGCTAATAAGTCGGAAATGCCCATGCCCATGTCAGTAATGCTATTCTGCCTATATTACTAACCACTGCGCGGCTTCTGACGGGATTCTAGATTGGGCCCAAAGCACAACAGGACGAGTATGCCCAGTGACGCGATCATTGAGCGCTCTATCAAAGGACCGCAAACGTGTTGACATCAGATGATAATTTTCGACTGAAAACCTTATCAGTCATGTAAGACATCCGTAACATTAGTCTCGGATGGTTTTATATTGCCCTGAAGGAATATACAGTCAGGATCAAAGTTTTGGCAAGTACAAGCAAACAAGACGTTACAATTCTCAAGCACACTGAAAAGTATGGATTCTAGCGTTCAATAACTGCAACCACTTCCTTCTTAGCTAAGCTGAACAAACGCCGTCGCAAAATGTCTGAGACGACTGGTCGCATGGAGGTACCCGTAGGCAGATGGTTAACAGTCGCACAAAATCAGTCGTCCTCATCTGGCTGTTATAATGACAACTTGGTAATCATAATCGATTATGGCATTTTCGTCAGATATAAGTAGTGCTCTGAGACACATGTGGAGCGTTCTGATTTTCGTTGTCAAGGTGCCCAAATGGTACGTCAGACTTAAACGACGGCTTCGTGTCACGTTAATCACTGAGCCATGGCTGAAGGAAGGGGAGACAGTGAGGCTGACACCCGATGCCCTTTTAAGCTGGCTGGGCTGTAAGCAGTATGGCTTTGGAAGTTGTCAACCGATGGGACAGCTCGATTCTCCAGGAAGCCGGAATTGCAATGATCAACTCTTAATGAGGCTTTATGGTAATTCTAACGAATGTTGGATCCGGGATACTGGAACCCGAGCGGTGTGAAGTGTGGTGAGACGTGTGCTGTACGTAGACAAGGCAATCATTCGCCGACAGCCACCACGCCACATTTCACTTCTGACTACCTCGTTGCTACTGGAGCATGATGGATACTGAGCAGGTTCGCCTCATTATGAACCAAATTACACACAACTGACCGCTGTCGATCCTGGTGGACGAAATATGGGGGTTGGAGACAGATCTTGGATCGGAGTTGTTGCAGACAATCAACGAAAAGCAGTCTAATTAATCCGACCATGACGCTAAGACGGGCGATAACTATGCGCATGGTGGGGCAGCCTGACGGATTATGCGTGATTTCTATCCTCGTGCCTTTTAGGCTGCGCTAGTTATGAAACTACAAGGGCAGTTTTAATTATTGCAACACAAGGCTCCAGCGAGAAGACGGCGACGCATTCGGAGTAATTATTCTCTGCCATGAAGTTAAGCTTCGGTCTTATAATCCGAATTTCTGCATAAATAGCGTAAACACACTAGGAAAGCGTTTTTTTATTATTTTTCTAGACGACACTCCAGTAGACGAGTCCCCTAAAGTGGACTGTCCTTGAGCAGTCAGCTCTTGTGTCCTCTACAGAAGAGAACTCTTCTCCGTGGGAGGAAAGTGTGTAGTAGTATTAGGATTTGTAGTATGGCACTACGGAAATCATCTGGTTCAACGGAGTCGGAGAATGAATAATAAGTGGAAACAATGGCCAGATAGAAGTAGCGCAGGGTGTCCACTGAAATGCTGAAATCAAGCGTCATCATCTGGTACCGAGCCAACGATGGCTGTGTCTATGAAGCATCCACAAGAGAATACCCTTTGGGCGCAGAGGATCACCGTTCAGCAGCAACTGGCCTGACTACAGTATCAGCTACAGAAGTTTCGCCGCGTAGTAAAACTCTGGGTTGGAGACTTCACAAGCGGTCGCATAGCCGCAAGTGATTGAGGGGTCTTGGAGAAGGAGACACGATGGCTGGGATTCGTCTCTTCGCTTCTATTGAATGAGGGGTCTGTGGATTCGACCGTCGCGAAGGATGTAAACCGTGTCCCACTGCATGGAGACGAAGGACTGTGACTTGCACGCGAATTAGTTTATAGGGATGGCCGACTCGCGCAGTAACCTGTCGCACTCTCCTCTTACACATTCCTGGGTCCCGTGGCAAGACAGGATCTAGGCAGCCGGATGCGGGCTCGGACGCGGTGGCTGACGATGTCAAACAGCCCGCCCAAGTGTGTCGCAGACCTGGTCCGCAGGGGAACACGAAATGCTCAGATCGGATCCCATCTGAGGGGGGGGGTCCATAGAAGGAACGTTAGGGGAATCCACTGCATCCTAACTCTCCGATCTGAGAAGGCTGAGTTACCCTATAAGTTGGCAGCCTTCCAGGCCACGACTTTAGATCCAACAGCGTCACGCTTCTTATGGTGAAGAATGCGCTGAAAGTGCTATGGGAATGGATTTCAGTGTTGACCTAATTCTCTTCTATCATTCATGCTTAAGTCTGCTGTCCTAGCCGGTCAATCTTCTAACGCTAGGATTGGGCCAAAGTGCCTGACTCAAGGTTCCACTAACAAAAACGAGACTGGAGCGATCATTTTGGTTTAGTTTCTGCCATCAGTTGGCCATACTCCAAAAGAAGGTCGGAAAGATCTTGAGCTTCAACGCGGGTCAAGTCGGTATGGTCCAACGCTTCAAGAATCAGTGCTCTGTTGGCTGAACGTGTCATTCACACAGATCTGACCATCTTGTAGGACTTCGCAGGTAGTCAGAATAAGACAAATCGATGACTCAAATAGGCCGGATGTAACCATCACCCCCTCACCCTCCCTCTCTTGCCATCGTCAGCGAGTCTTATGTCCTTTTTACTCGATTAGTAGCGAAAGGAAAACGCCGGGATTAACCGCGAGCCGCTGACCAGAGCTTTTAATAGTAGAAACACGTTCTAGCTCATATTTAAACTACATAAAGAATGAGATTTTGTAGACATAAAGTGGTCAAATGTAGGAGGATGATATAATTCAGCTATGGTTTAGGTAGACTTATTCCTAAACGTGTTCACAGACAACGCGATCGGGAACCGGATGAATAATCTGGTGTAGAATTATCTACCCCCACAGTCATGTGTTCCGGGGGACTTTTACCTCTGGAATCCATATACACACTGCGACGGAAGAAATGTGACAGAGATCAAAGCGAAGGTAAAGTTTGAACGGTTACTCAGCACGTTGTTCAACGCCCCATTCGAATAGAAGCAGAATACACCCCTTGCAAGGTCTTGTTTGGTATGTTTTAGAACACCTTAATTCGACGCACCCTACAGTGCACTGTAAGATCAATCCCCTTTTCAAGTGTAACGAAAGCAGGTGAGCGTCGATGGCCTGGGCAAATGTAATCAGTTTTTCGTTACCGTTTCACAGAGTTGACTTTAAATGGGAGCTCCAATAAAACCGACGTCTGCGTAAGAGGAGGGATTCTACATCTTGGTAGGCCGCGAAGTGATCATCTAAAAGTTTATAAACTTCCGGAATAGCGGGGCAGATATTGAGTTGCGATGACGTCACCAGAAAAACCCTCGATGCGCAGTTTGCTCCAAACTTTTTGATTCCGACATTTAGCTAGTTTGGTAAAAACGAATGCCTTTATACTAGCGACTGATTTTATACGCCGTCTATTAGACGATTTTTCTCCTGTTGGACGTCTACTTGTTTTTTTTCTCTGGATACGCTATGATTTTCTCTGGAAGACAATATTGTCTCATAGAGTATAAGCGGACACGAGATGCACTTACGGTTGTCCCCTCATTGGGGCTGTAAGGCGCTTGGAGATCCTGATTACTCATTCCGCTGTTGGAGTGGGATCCAGTGAAGTCTACATCGCTAGTTGAAGAATGGCGAAAAGTTCCATTTCTGCGATGGGAGAAAACGGAACTTGTTTGGAAGAGGTCTCGGTTGACTCGGGGATCCTGCGGAGGGAGGCTGCGGAAGCTGAGAGGTAGTGGCGGCGGCGGAGGTGGGGGAGGGGGAGGAGGAACATCTTTGGGCGATACAAGTGGCGAGATGACGTCGTCGTCATCGTCATCATCGGGTGGTTCGCTGGGAGTCCGCGGACCATGCTCAATTGCCACTTTTTCGACACGGCTGCTGGAAGACAGTTCCAGGGGCAAGCCGGTCGAGACGGCTTCGCTCAGAGCAGAGGAGATTACAGCAGGGATATCAACCAAATGGGCCTTCTCCGAAACTAAATGTTCAAAATCCGGAGGTAAGTCATCTAGCAAGACTGGTGCGGTGGAGAGGGCAGGGGTTGACTTGACTTCCGCGACAGGCGGTTGTTGAACATTGGGAGGCTCTTTCGATTCAGTTACGCTGAGGCCGCGGCGTCGCCTGTACTCGGACAACGACATGCGGACTTTTCCCATCTCCTGCTTTCTCAATTCCTCTACCTGCCGTTTCACAGTGGCCTTCTTGGGAGGCAACTGCTAAAAAATAAACCCACAGGAATTGCGTGAAATCAGGAGAGAATAGGGTCAAAAAATTTAGTAGGCAATTAAACTGGTTTTTGGAAGTCACTAAGGATTTTGCACAAGAGCATGACATCCCAAGGGTAGTCGGCTACCTAGCCATGGAGTTTTTTAAATTGTGACACAATCGAGGCTCTCAACAGGCTATCCATCACTTGGGGGGGGGCATTGAACAGAAATTCAAGACAGTGGACTCAATGAAAAATTTGGTAAATGCAAATTTTAAGCCAATTTCGCTTAAATTCAAAGCTTTTGGTGCACCAAAAACTGGGACCCAAAGCTCGCAGAACGCAGCCGATAGATGTGCTATAACGTTTTTGTTAAAAACCGAGAAATAATGTCAACTGGGGTTAAAAGATTGGAACGATCGGCAGAACTTAATGAAAGACCTAGGAAAAAAACCTTCGAGGGGAGGGTCCTCGGGATCTGTCATACTAAACGGCAGGCACATGGCCCATACCAAAGGCGAAATAAAATCACATGACATGAAAATAAGTCTTAATTTCGGACACGTTAGGTCTATAAAATACCCTGAGTTGGTGCATGGTAACTCCGTTACAGAGAACAACTTAAAGTAAAACGACACTGGTGCATGCTAGTAAGTCTGAATTATAATATTACGCACCGAGGTGGGTGTTGGATGCGAATCAGAAGACGAGGCTTCCAAAGGGACAGTCGTCGGGGTCCATACGGGGGCGCCATTTGTAATTGTTAGCGGAGATAGGACAGAATCAGTAGTGGCTGTCATGTCAACCGCTGGTGCTTCTGCAGGTACGGTACTATCACCCTCCTCGTCTTTAGGCGTAAGACCCGATAAAATTGGAACTGGGGATTCCGCAACTGCCGCCTCAGCCTCAGCCAGCTGTGAAATAATCCTTTTCTTGGGATTTAACGAGGGAGCATTATGTCGAGAAGCCGAATCAGAGTCTCCAGTTGCAGGGAGGAGTTGGGGTGGAAGAGCGGGAACGCTGAAGCCCGCGGATTGATTGGCCAGGTTATTTTGTATTTCAATGCCGCCTTCCATCAGGGCCTAATAAAAAGAACATGCCAACCAGTAGAAAATGTGCGTAAAGGGGGCGAGAGGTAATATCATACAAAAGGGCATATTCACTTTCACCTATATGGTGGCTTGCGAACAACCGTGATTTCAAAGAGGACGTCGAAAATAAAAATAGATGTACACAGGTGCGAATGTAGCCTGATTACAAATAAAAAATCAAACCAGGAGAACTAGCAGGCTCACCTGAGAAAGCCAGCGTTTCTTAGAAGGCTTGGGAGTAGTAGGTCGGGAGGTAGTGAGGTGTTCCAGAGCTGAATAGCTGTTCACCTGCACGGTGGATGGATGATCATCTAGCAGCTCCCCACCCTGGAGAACTTCATCATCAAAGTCCTCACCTTTGGACGAGAGGCCGTCGAGCGGGTGGTGCATCATTTGGGAGACGTCGACAGACAGGACAGGTGGATTTGTGTAGGAGACGGAGCGCGATCGACTGAATTTGGCCATCGGGTCTACTTCGCGACGCCTGTAGACAATCAGGCCGCACTCAGCCTCACCGTCTTTGGGGGAGCATACAGAGGTGGGGTCTGCCCTGGGTGAGGAGCACAACGCCGATTCGGTGGATACGGGCGACCTCCACGCCTGGTCAACAGCTCCATCAACAGCGTCGAAACTGCTTTCGTCCGAGGTCGCAGAGGCGCGCGGATTGCTTGCTCGCCTGCGACGCTTACTTTTGCTGGATGCTTGCCGAACAGTTCGTTTAGAGGATCGCTGCTGAATGCCAGCGGGCCCTCCGGCTTCCGACACATGTGCAGTCATCATAGAGACCGTGAAATCCAGAGATCCAGACACGTCAGGTTTAGTGGCATTCGCGGAGGCGACGTCGGTATGTGAACTTTTCTGGGTTGTCTTTGCTGGCTTATTCTCCATTTCGGCAATCCTCTGCAGTTGCAGCTGAAGCCAACGATCCTCACGAGACAGGCCGGTGGATTGTCCTGAACTATCAGGCGCAGTAGCAGCGGAAACCTGTGACTTCTTCCGCCGATTCCTAGACTGTTCGGAGGGTGACTCGGGGCCTTCATCTTTTGGCGGTTCAGGTTTCAAGCTGCCCTGGGCAGACCGACTCATCTTCTCTGGTTCGCTAGCGGTGGTCACCAATTTCAAACCAGGCGGTGAGGAGAGGCTTGAAGTATCGCCGGCGCCTACAAAAACGTCTTCGCCCGAAGAAGTCGACCACACTCGTGATTTGGTTGACTTTTCTCGACACAAAGACACTCCGTTACCGTCATCAGGAGCAGGAAGCGGAGAAAGCGGGCTCGCCAGATGTGAGGTGTCGATAGGTCCTTGAGAAATCTTAGAGGTGGGTTTCACCTCATCCTGGGAGGTTGTACTGGGTCTTTTTTTCTGTTTCTTTTCCATCCGTTCAATACGACGGAGCACCTCGGCCATCCAGGTATCTTCGCGTGAGGCCTATAAGAGAGCAGGAAGGTAGAACAGCTAGAACCAATCATTAATGCATCAATTTATGGCACAAAAAGACGGCCTACGGGCAGGTTAATAAGACTAGATACATTAAAATTATAACTCGAAATTTCCGTGGAAAGGGCGACTTAAAACTGGACCTCGCTCTCTATCGACGGCAATGATACTGTGGCGAGAAAACGAGAACCCATAAATTGGGAAGATGTCGACAGCGAGATCCCGTTCTCGCGACAGTCGAATATGGGCAAACAAAATGATTAATCTTCAATTGATTTGACCGCTCGCAGATGAGTTCGATGTAAGTACATCGACTAACGTTGAAATAAAAAGTTTCCGCACAAGTCGCCAGCCACCCGCGACGTCTCCCACCTCTGGTTTTCGTGACTACGCCCTGACACCGGGTCCAGGTTAGAGAGGAGGGAGTGCGGTAGATTCTGTGCAGGTCTACTATCACTACAAAATAAATCACGCACAAGTCATCGTGTCTGCTCTTCCCCGCTGTGTAGCCCACGATGGACATCGTCGGTCACAACGGTCGGATTGAAACATGAAGGTGGTTCAACTTCGCTGCTTGATTTCTGCATATTTTTTCGGGTTCGATGCTTTAGAGTCACCATGACTTCCGGCGTATATCCTCGGCCTGGTGTTGGGAATGCCCTGGTGTTTCCAAGGTAAAGCAATTGGCCCGGGCCGGTGGGGCCATTATCGTTGATGGTTGAGGGTTCCATACATACCATGTCGGGGTTGGTTAAGGCATGAGCAAGCTTTTCCCCCATGTTCCTGGTTAGTTCTAATTTGACATAGACGGGGACGGAAAGACCTGGGTCTCGTTGTATACGCGCTTTAGTTATGGCTTTCAGTGCGCAAACACAAGCTATTTATCTTGGCATGAATATGATGGATGGTGGATGGTGTCCAGTGTCTTGACAGTCCGGGCCGATCTCTAGTGGTTGCTCATAATAGGCGTGCAACAGCATTGCAAACAACGATTTAATTATTTTCTAATGCCAGTTTTGGTTCACAGTGCTGAAGATCACTGTGGGATCTGGCATTTTACCGTTAATACGGAACTGCGAATTTGCTTTCGTGCGTTTCACGATGTCTACATAATTCACATCTGGTCTTTTGGAGAAGCTCCTGCCCAAGTTTGCATTCAGGCAACCGAGAGGCGAGCGACGATGCTGCCAGCAATACCAAGGGAATTCCAAGATTGTTGAGTGGACGATGGCGGAGTCCTAAAAGTCCAGCGTGATTCTGCCCTTGCCTCCACATCCCTTGGGACAGCGAGATCAGTTTGCCCAAAGACCGGTGTATTTGCAGGCTTCCGCTGGGACGGAGTCAATGGAGGCAAACAGACCGAAATGACCATTCTAGCGTCTGTTTGCTCTAGTTTATAATACTTTGTAATCAGTGATTCTCCTTTGCTGAGACCACCTGAACTCCAGGGCAAAACACACAATTATCCGGTCTCGAAATAAGGCTAAATCAGTGAACGTTACCCTTGCGTGATTCCTACCGTCAAGTGACGCAAACGGCAGCTGTAAGAACGCATAAAGACGGATCAGGCAATGGACTCACAGATACAGAAGCCTTTCGTTTGGGTTCAGGAGACCTGATGTCAGTATGACCAGCAGAATTGGCGGGCGAAAACTCATTGGGCAGCTGGTCCGGTACCGTTGGAAGCCCATTGTCTGCCTCGCTGATAGTCTGGCGTTGACGCTTCGTGCCGGAGGCAATAGGAAGCTCCGGGGACTTTGGTGAGGTTTCAACAACATCAGTTGGCGTCTGGCGTGGAGGCCTTCTCGTTGTCTTCTTCTAATGAGGACAAAAGTCAAGCGTAGAGTGGACTTACGACCGCGGATGAGCAGTTCACTTAGTTACTACAGAAAGGCGAGCAACACCAGGAAAAGTCAAGTTATGCAAGATGCGGACTCGAAAGCAAAAGCGTACCTTGGGGCCTTTTACTAAAGACCTAGGAGTTGGAGGAGGTTCCTGATTTTTGGTCCCTTCCACTGCTGCAGGCCTCTTCTCCTCCACATCCTCATTATCATCACGCTGCATATCGGCCTGCATGTCACCGACTGTGTCGGGCAACTTATCGGAGTTCTCGGAGAGGCTACAAGTCGCGCGAGATCTGACCAACAATGGTGGCGAAAGAGGCCCAGAAGGGGAGGTTGCAGGCTCTAATGAGACAGGACTAGGTCCAGAGCGACGTCTACGACCTGAGCGCTCCTCCGAAGTGGTCTGCCAGTTTTGCTGCTGCCTGTTGGGTGACCTGTGCCTGTGTTTAGGTGTCTTCCGAGCAGATTTAACTGGTGAGCTCAGAACGGGTGGGTCTTTGAGTGGCTCAGTGGCATCAATGCTGGCTCCCTGAGAGTATACAGACGAAGGCCCGGAGACGTCGGAATCGCTCAGCTCAGCGCTCCCATTGGAGAATAAGGTTGACGAAGGTCGGCGCTTACGGGTGTGGGCTGGAGAGGTAGCGCCAACAGGATGAGAGCGAGACTCGGGTGGGAAGCGTGTGTGACTGAAGAGTGGGGAAACCTGGTGAGGCCTAGTAGATGAAATCTCCCGGTTAACAGACCGACCACGACCACCATGGCGATTGCCTCTCGCCTTTCCTTGTCGCAGGTTGGACGGTGTCTTGCCCCGGCCGCGCCCGCGGCCACGGCCTCTTGCTCGACGACGGTGACCACTTGAATCGACCAATCCGGAGGAGGAGTGCTTGTTGGAGTGGTGCGTGAACATTGAAATGCTTGCCGCTGAACGCTTGGGACCAAGGAGTCGTCTAAAATCGGAAAAAGGCTAAGTCACGTGGAAACAAACAGAAAGCAAACGAGTGCGATATAGGGTTGGAAGGCCTTTCATAATTAGTCAGTTTTTTCTGAGACGCATGCTCAACTGCGGCACGAACAGGACCCACTCAGTCTCACAGTATGTCTTCTCTGACATGCAAAAATGGATCTGACAAGCGTCTCAGGGCAAACCGCTGCAGTCCTTTAGTTGTAGGTATCGAGATCTAGAATAAATATCTGGTTTACCCCCAATGACTGGTGGACGGTACGGTTGTTTAACCTGCCCTGTCGACCATGGGCGTTGTTTTAATGCGTATCAGCTTGAACTCAGTCGTAGATGTAGGTATGGGCTGAAGATAGCACTAGGAAGTTCTGCGCGGTTGTCACTTTGGCCTCCCCATTGTTAGTGCATTTTGCTTAATTCACGTTCCCGGCTTAGGGAAATACCCTCATATTTTATCCTGCCAGTGTGTGCAAGAAAACCTGGCAACACCAACGGCAAAGTAAACACAAAGACCTCGGGGGGAGCCCGACATGTTGTCATGGGCGAACTCGGGCAAACAAACCGTATCGCAGGAGGCCGCCTTTACTACTCGCAATGCGTGTGGGCGACACCGTGAGCAAAGAATTCTAAGTGAGCGCAGAGGAATCCAAATCAGAGGAGTCACGCCGTTCCTGAGAGCTAGGAAACGATTAAGACGCTACATAGTACTAAACAATACAACGGACTACAGTCAAATTGGGGCAGTAAAATGAGGTGCTGTCCTCCGGACTGACTTCCCAAACACTTCCTCAAGCAACATCACAGCCCCCCTAACAAGTAACGAGCGACAATCAGCATGGGCAGTCATGACGGCTGCATGCCAATACGCCTAAAGTAGGTCGACTGAACCGATAAAAAACCTGGCACAATGCATTTTCTCGCAATATTACAGGACAGAAAAGTCCATTGTTGGCCTAACTTGCAAATTTGCATAGTACACCGCTGGATAGCAAAAAGCATACCTGATCGGAATTTTGCCTCGAGTCCTGTCAGGAAGGGCCGGTGTCTCCACTTTTAGGTCTGAACCAAGACGCTTGTGAAGAGAGTTATACGGACCGTAGTTCGACTCATCAAAGGGCTTCGGCAAGTGGGCCTCCTCATCGTCTTCCTCCTCCTGCTCCCGCTCATCCTCATCGTCGTCCTCACTGTTGTCGTCATCGACCTCGTCATCAGAGGCATCACGTGACCAATCATGACGAGGAGAGAATTTATCCGAGTGGAATTGGGATGGAGGGTCGTATAGCTGCTGTGAATGCCCTCCGCTATCACCGTCGACTGGACTGTTCGAGCCAGGATGCAGAGACGCCTGGTAACCGGACTTAAACCACTTGGCTACAGAGCAGCCGCGCCTGGAACACGCACACTTGACGGGGTACCAGCAGGAGGTGTAGTCAAAATCGAAGGGTATTGTTAACTCGGTACCACTCGGGATGACTCTCGTAGCGACTACGACGAACTTGATACACTGGGGATTGATGACCGAGGAAAAGGAGTCCGTAGGAGGAAATACGAGGCGAACCTAATCAATGCAATTAGGATTTGATTAGCAAAACTGACGAAGGGCTACGGTAACTAATAATCTGTCAAAATAAACGTGCACGGTTCCCATGAGCTGATGCAAATAAGTTCTTAACCTTGTGCTTATGATTATGAGGATTCAACTGCAGACCGTATTGTGGCTCAAGTCCTTAGACAACCAGTCACAGGGCGATAGTAGACAGTTTAAAACTGGTCAATTAAGTAAGTGAGAAGGAATATGGGGAAGACGCGGGGGAAGTGGACTCCTGAGGATTCCCAATAAATAGGGCGAAGAAAAAGGGCTGCTGCGCCATTGGATGCCATGTCCAACATTGTAAAAAACATGCTACAGGGTGCTCGCCTACTGAACGAGGCGACTGACTCTACCCCGGTCGAATGGGATCAGGCTTAATAGTATCTTGGTCCAAGTTAAATGTCTAGGCACCTTATTTTCGTCAGATGCCCCGGACCCCAGAATTCTGTAAAAACCAAAATAAGAAATCTGACGCCGTCTTGTAGCGTGGGATTCGATTGTGCAAACACGGGCACTGTCAACGAGAACAGGAAGGAAGGCGGGTCTTTTCAGCCACTCTGGGAGCAGTAGCACATTCATTCGGAGGTGAGCGACTTGGAAGCCAATAGAGGAAAAGCTTGTGGACTTTTGAAGCTAATCCTCGCGGCTATTTCGAATGGCACGTTCGTTTGATGCCGCTTTTGACAGTTCGGCCGTCGCAGACGACGTCCATTGCTGTTCCACGAGGTGGGCCCAACAGTGATCTGCGCATGGATTCGTTCGGTGGAGCAGACAGGCCACTCTACTCCATTCTCCCACCGGATTGACATTCCTCCCTGGACCTCTTTCCCCTCTCTTCCATATGTTTGGAAGTCGTCCTCTATCAAGTGTCACACACGCGATGACAACTACTAGAATTAACAGCAAGTGCAGTCGACCAGTACTTGAAACCTTGGACTGGTGCGTTGCAGTTTTGGAGACATCCACGTTCCACTCCAGGAACCACAAGAAACCATCCCTCCCCCCGCCAGCAGACTACCCAGCGCAGCCGCTATCTAGCAAGCTGTGCTAGTCAACTTTTTTAGACAACCCGAGGACTATGGCCGGAGTTCTATGACCGGACAACCGCGCCAGCGGCGCCGATACGAGCTATTTTCTAGTCGGAGGCAACAAACTATCTCAAGTTTGCTAAGGTGTCCGGCGTGTCGACCACGGCGGCCTTCTCTTCTAAATGGAGCTAGGAAGGATGAGGGGAATTAAGAAATTAAATTTGCGCCTTTCTACGCAAAGGCGGACGAAACCCTCCCCTAACCAGGCGTAGCATTCGTATAAAACACAGGTACAAAATATAGTCCCACACATGGTCTCTTGTTACATTCCGTGAAGTTGCCGTAGTATTCCCGTCTTGTGTAATCCTTTCTTTCGCTTTCTTTCTTTGCGGTTTCACCCTGGTACTAACTATAATGTGAAAAATGGAGGTGGAGGGGAGGGGGCACGGACAACGTGGTCTTGATTTTGCCATAGGGTTCAAAATTGGTTAGGATAACTACAACCGTCAGATGGTGCAATTAGAATGTGTGCAGAAAACAATGAAAAGAAGGCAACGAATATGCGGCGGGTCTACTTGAATGAAGATTCAGCGAAGCAATTTAAGGCCTCCCTTACGGACAGCCTATCTATAATGCTTTGGGCGCATTCCGCTACGAAGGAGTAATTTAGACGTCGTTGGGAAAAAATGCCAGATGACGCGAAACGGAAAGTCAAAAACATAACCTAGGGGCTGAGATCTTAAGCACTGTCGCTGTCAAGACTCACCTCGCAGTTAGGATTGCAAGACCTCCTGATAAATCGGGCCTCGTTGCCATAATTGCGCGCATCTACGCATATAATCGTCTTGTCCAATTTTTTGTAGAACAACATAAACGGGTTGTAGCTAAAGGGTAAGCGTCAGTGGATTTGAATAGACAAACATACTGTCTCCGGTAATCCTGTTGTTCACTGTACTCGTTCAAGAGCATTGCGTTGCCACGATACTCCACTATTGGCTGTCGCGGGTAAATGTGTTCAGTAGCAACCAAACCCTGCAGACAAAACAGATGAAATTGGGCAAGATTATAGACTGGGAGTTAAAACTGCACGTGCACAAGCAATGGACAGGAGCACACGCGCGATTCTAAACCAGCTGTTACAGCCTTGAATAATTACGCTCACCAACCTATTGTCAGTGGAAGGCCGGGATTTGCGATGGTCGTCATGTTTACGCAGAGGTTGGCTTGCCGGAGGATGCATGTCCGAGACCGTTTTCGTTACTCTTTTAAATTACCCGGTTGTCCCAAAACTCTAGCGTACATGTACTGGCCTTAGGGACTGACTTCATCGGTTGTGCACAAAGACGGTCTCAATCGTTGCTACACAGAAACGGTAGGTGGGAAGGAAGCTGTCGGCAAAGTGGGTGTAATCGTAAGAATACTCGGGAGCATCCCGCGATAGCAATGTCTGGGTCTTAACAAACCAGATGAAAAGCAGTCTCACTGTCGTCCGTTTCGAGTCTCAAAATCCCTTTTTCCCTTCCTGGCTTTAACTACAATTAACTACCAGGAATGTGTTTGATGAATGTACCTATTACAGAGCGGCTCACATTTATGCGCAGGAAAAACTTCGTTGATAAAGTTGCATGTGAGGTACACGGTAAAACATCCTACGTAAATGTGAGAGGTAAATCCTCGAGCTAACAAATAAAAGGAACACTGGTAAGTCGGGCTCTTTTATTTTTCTTACGCAGACTAACCCTGAAAACTAGAATTATTAGACGTTAAAGCAACGAGGTCTGCATAGTAAACATGAAGCACTTTCGGCTGACACCATACGGGACTTGATTGTCATCTGAACGACACAAGACAACCTTGACATCATAAAAGTTTCGAAAGGCAAGGGTTGTTCTTGCATGAAATGATAACGCTGTAATTCATCCTTCCTAGCCAGTCTGCCGAACGGCATAAGTGGTGAATGAAGACATTATCGCCGTCATGAAAAAATGAACCTGAACGCAAACCCGACTATTCGTAAATTCTGGAACTCCTGTAGATGAGATCACATTTTGGCAAACATGCATAACGCTTTCTTGCTAACTTAGCTGTGGGCGGCTACCCTGCGCGTCCACAGGTGGTAGATGGTTAAATGTCCTCCAGCAAAGGTTAGGTGCACACGGCAAAGCACCTATCAGGCAAATGGGTTGCTCATGAGAAGGCCACATGTGGAGAATAATAAATCTCCTTCGCCCGCCGTCGCCTCGCGGATTCGGAACTGGGACAGGGGAATTCGCTGTACCACTTACTAAAGTCCACCAGCATTCGTGACTCGTGCTGTAGACTTTGGCGTCGATCAAACCAACACTGGTACTAGCCGAAACGACATCGAAAAGGTTAGGGGATGTACGAACAAAAATTGCAATGTTATCAGACACCAGGTGGGACTGTATAAGGACCCGAAAAGGTAGAAAAATTTATCGAACCTTCGCGCTTTACTAGCGAATGTTCAATTTTTTGCAAGTGCGTACTAAGCTTAAGCTTGATATGGTTTTTACAGTGACCTTGGCTAAGAAAGTAACCGAAAAGATGAGATGATCTGAAGGAGAGTTCCTGACTTACTTGCTATCTTCAGTCAGTCATAGCTTACCTCAGAGCTGAAATTTGAACCGGATTTAATCAGACCACTGAGTCAGACAAACTACGACGTGTCAAGGATTATGTTTAAGTGTGGATATCCACGATCGCAGTCAAAAGCGAGTGAACATGAGATTCAGTGGGTAGAACGCCTCGCTCAGAGGCCTAAACTTGGGTTTAGATGTGGTCTGTCGCTATGCGAGTGGCTGCAAGAGTCTTAAATAGTCTCTGAGAATGAAACCTGGTCGAATTGGTGAACGTCAGCCTCGCGCGACCTTAAACAAGAGTGCTGCGTAAAATGATAGTGACCGACTTCACAAAAAGAGTCCGCGTGCATTGCAAACGTAACTGTCTGGCAAAACACGCACGCGCTTTCTTAGCCCTTGCAAGAAAGAGATGTTTCTAGTAAAAACTAGGAATACCGGTCGATGTTAGGATCTTGTAGGACATAAATCCTTTTGTGCAGACAGAAAAATAAATTGGTGAGCTAACCTTTTTGTTGAATTCGAGAGAAGCTACATGACACCGGTGTGCGCGGTTAACAGAGGACAGCGTGGAATCCGAGACTTGAAGATTGTCAAGTTCGCGCGCGGACGAGGTAAGAAAAACATTACGAATTCGCTGTTTCAGGGCATCAGAGATACGAGTCTCTAAGGCCTCCTCATAGGAGTCATTCCAAATAACTACGTCTGGTGATGCCGGCTCAGGGACGCTGTGAACTGAAGAGTTAGCTATGGTCTCTTGGCTGATGATGGAGCGACCGGTGTAGTTAGTCGAAACGCGAGGAGTATATGCAGATTTGTTGGTTTCGACTTCCGAAGTGTTCGAAGGCGTTCGATAAAACTTCGGACAAGGCAACTCTTCATTTCCTTCCGTGTTTGCAGTCTCCTCAAATCGGAAATTTGTTGACATGTTGTCAAAGGCCGTGGAAGACTCTCCGGCAACTGAAATAAGAAGAAAAACACTAAAGCAAGATGGCGGGGCGCACAATTCTGCTGAAAGTTAAAAGGGTCCTAGTGCTTTAAAGACTGGGTTTAGATGAGAAACCGTTGAGTTCCCATATGAGCTTCACTGAGAAAAGATAGTAGCTAGGTCTAGAATAGGCTACGGGTTAACTGCTGATCCGGCTTTAGTGGCGAATTTCGACCGGCCTATCAAAATCGCCAGTTGAAGATGGATCCTTGGTACTGGATAGGGTGAGGCCATTTTTCGGTCCTAATACCAAAAACTGAAAATAAGTTCTTAACAATACAATATAGATGTCTGTCGCCTGTTATAAATCCGAATCCCATACTCGGATGGGCAGGAAATCAAGATCCCCTTCCCTCGTACATCGCATGAAGCTCATATACGTGGTCTAAAATGTGCTGACCATCGTCCTTCACAGACATCTAAATTGGGGCCGGATTTGGGCGTGGATCTATTGGCCGGTGCATTGCAGAACTCAAGTAGGGCCACTAGGAGCTGACGCCCAAGTGCTTCACAGAATTCTCTGTGGCGTTTAATTCCATCTATTGTGAGCCTCTGTGATAGATATAAGAGGTAAATGGTGTCAGTGATTGACGTGACTGAGGCTTACGATTGTTGAGCCAAGGTCAGTGTTCTACTCTGAAACCTCTAAATGCCCGTGAAGACTCGGTCTGACGTTGGGCAAGGTTGCATCCCACCACATCCTACCTGTGGCTTTACTGACTGGTTCTATAGAATGGTTCTAAAGTTTCGACGATATCGAATTTGAGATACGGCACCGGCTGATGGGCATAGACTACGTCCACTTTACAGCCCTTCTAGCGTCCAGTTATGACGATTAGTAGAATGTAGCGTCGCGGGTGAATGAGGTTGTCAAATCAGCTGGTTTGTCTCTCAACTCTGCGAAAACAAAGGTTGCCTCTGACTCTATCTTGCAGACCTTCGTGATTAACTGTCACGGGCTTAAAGAAGATGACGGCTTCAAAGATCTCGAAGTCGACTGGTCAGAGCAGCCGAGCAATAGATCCAAGGTTGTTGCTATCCTCAAGTGTCAGTGAGCCAAATGTAATTTAATCGCCGCCACAGGTATCCGCGTGAATAAAGCACCTGCCCAGTCAGTCCTTCTTAAATTGGTCGTGAAGAGAACTCGCGGCTTTCGACCGTGTCTGAAAAAAATCCCTAGTTATTTACTGAGACTTTGTATCGGTTGAGACAAAGTCTCACGATCGATCAATAAGAAACGACTGAGATCACGATCTTCGTCGGCCACCTTACAAGTCCTGTGCTACTGTCCATAGTTGCATGGCCTCTAAATGTAGTTGTCGGAGTTCCTCTTGAAACTCGGCTCGAAGTGATCCGACAAGATGTCGAGGCGGCATTTGGACCTTCGGTGGTTGCGGTGGGGAAATAGGGCGGGGACTCACATGATTAGTCGGCACAGATCGTAGCGCGTGTAGGCCGCCGATGGAACATTTCTGAGGATGACTAGACTTGGCTATTGAATTATCAGATAAGGTGGGAATGGCATCTGTGAATGATCGGACAGACCCAAGCCTATCTCTGGCAGGTTATTTAGCTAAGGGTCATCAACCAGCGTTACGCTGGCACGAGACATGTGGTCTTACGGCGGCGACTGGCACGATCTACAGGGAAATCTTGCACAAAGGTTCAATTCCTGCTAACAAACGGGTATACTGAGCACGGCGATCACATTCTATAAAAAACTGAAGTGTATTGTGCCTTTACTCTTATTTCGACTTTGAAGATTAGCTCGAACACGAGCCGGAAATGTCAGACCAAGAATTTTTTCAGCGACGGAACGCACTTCCTAATTACTAACCGAAAGAAATAGCTGTTAATGTACTACCACCTTTACGAATACTACAGACAGTGGATTCGGCCGATGATTTGGAGATGGCTAAACAACCTGAAGCCTGTTCTACTAGTGCCCGACTAAGTTGACCGAAACGAAAATCACGAAGGTTCCAAAATTCAATTTTGACAGAGAAAAGAATAAAGGTGGCTAAATTGCGGTTTCGACATTATTTCCAAAGGGATCCACTTAAGCTAAGCCGGAGATTTTGCCTCAAAAAACGGACCACGCTGTATAATAAGTGATTGGATTTGAAATTGATCAAAGGCTCCGCACGTGATTTGGATCATTTATACTTTGGTGCGGATTTCGAGTCATTTTAGAACAGACTACATGCGTGAGAGTATGAGAACGAAAAGCGCCAGTTGTATAGGCAAGACATAGCAACGATTATCATCTAACATCTAGTAAAACGATAACCCACTAAAATAGGGTACTATGGAAGACAGAAATAGCACAACAACCACAAGGATCAGTAGAGGCTGGCTGCTTTTGGAAAATTCGACCATCAAATTTCAAATTGGGTATTAGTAAAAAAGCGACATACGTGTAAATAAATCTTGTTTTCTTTTAGAAGCTCGTTGACCACATGTGACATAGGGTCTCGGATCCAAGTTTATCGTCCGCGGCTGTAATTGATTTAGGGCAGAAGCATCCACTTGGTAGATGGTCGTGCCTCCAACAGACTGTCCGATAACGGCCCCGGACGGTAGCTCACCAAGGCGGACTTGTATCGGTCTAACAGGCAGTGCTCCGTTGACGGGCGTCGTCAAGAAAAATCTATTCGAAGGCGAAAGATGTTGAAGAGCACCGCCAGGAGAAGTAAACTTATTTGCCGGAAAGCGGATTCCAGCATTTGTCAAGCGGATCGTCTTCGCTGGTGCTATCTGATTAATACCTGCTGCTGCAAGTTTCTTGCGTTGCAAATTTGCAGCCTCGGTTGGCACTACTGGCCTCGGTTGGCAGGATTCACAGAAGTAAGGTTTTGGCAGTATAGTTCCCGGCGGCGTCATACATTCGGCGTGTTGAAGGACCCTAATGACACAAGGAAACAGGATACATAAAACTATTTAGCGCGATCTAAAGCTCTAGCGGCTAAAATGTTACCGGTCCAGAGCAAGCCTCTGAAGATACGGTCCCTTGAGAAGAAAGACGGCTGCCTTCAGTTTGTAAATGAGACACATCTACCGTCCAAATCAGGGTTTAAAAACTAAATCGGGTACAGTGTGCAACCGTATGATCGCAATAACTGATACTGCAGGCAAAACAATAAAGCTGGAAAGAAATTGGCGCTGCTGGGCACAGCTACGTAGACTTAGAAAAGGAATATGCCCTTACCGACAATTGGTGCATTGAACAAGGCATCCATCATCGTGCGTGAAACCACAAATGCAGCGGAATTGGGCCTGAACTGTGGCTGGGGGATTCTGCACGCTGCTACCATCGACGGGTGGCATGTCGGTACGCAGCAATACCGGTTGCGGAGCAACAGAGGTTACCCTGTGAATCTGGACTGACGCTGCTAGGCTGCCCCTTGTAGGAGCCAAAAGTATTGCTCTCCCGTTAGCGGGGGTAACCTTGCAGGTAGTACCGGGGATGTGCGATTGAAACTGACTTGCGACTTGGTGTCCATTAGTCGGGGAAACATAAGGTTGCTTAATAATTGTCACGTGTGGCACGCCTGAACTCTTTGTGACTGCAGAAGAACGTTCAACCAGGCCATCTGAAATGCACAAGTTATCGACCGTGGAATCGAAATCTCCAAGGCAGTCGACATGTGATGACTCGGGAGTATCGTGCTTCGCAAGCGCTAGTTTGGCCAAAAGAGCAAGTTGATTGTCACCATTTTCTGGACAATTTTTAGGTTCACCTTGATCCGTCTTAGCATAGCTGTGGTCCTATTTAAAAACATCATTAAAAATGGAAATATGAGGTACGTTGTACGACAAGCCTGTTGAAGATGCAGATTCACCAAACGTAACGGCGTGGAAAGGATATTCGTCAGAATCAGAGCTAAAAGATTGGCGTCATCTCCAAGGGAAACATACCCATTGGCTGAGAAAGAACAGAGGACTCTCTTGCCAGACCATATTTTTGGTGGGGACCCAAAAATTGGTATAGTTTTGTTGTGTTCATTAATTACAACATTGCTTCCCACATCGGGGACGGGAGGAATGGGCTCGCCAAAGTTCTCCGTTAAATCGGCATCATGAGGTGGAAAAGATCCGGGAATCTTATTGTCCAACGAAGAGGTACAGTCAATATTTAAGTCCATAGTTCAAGTTCAATCATACCTAGTTCAGTACAGATTGGCAAAAAAGAACATGCAGGCTTAAAATACCAAAGTGGGAGATTATCAGTCTTTAAATGATGACGAGGAAAGTCAGATTTTTAAAAACGTGAAGTTATGGTGACAACTTACTTCCGATTTAGTCCGAAGCATAACAAAAATTACTAACTATAGAAACACACCACACCCACAAACAAAGAATCCATGCAATTGAACCGGGCTACAGGTTATGGTATCCGTCGTTTTAAAGAACGAATAACTGCTTTTCCAAGTCCAGGTTGTATATTCCCACTTCCAGTGACCATCTCACACTAAAACTAATAAATAATTCCGGACTTGTCGCAGAAAGACTTTTTTGGTGACAGAATACCTGCACACACGTATATGTCACTCAGAGCCGCCGCGTCTTATGAGTTATTTTCCTCGCTGAAGTGCAGGGCAACAGATACCAGGATAGTGAAACGTATATATTTGAACATTTGAGAGGAAATCGGACCTACCCTGAACGTTGAAGCGTGCAAAAGAAGTCTTTAAAGGTAAGGCTTGTTGTTGTTTATCACGTAATATGTGTGCTAGCAGTGGCCTCGTTGCGGCCGCACTGACGAAAAGACTGCGGGCTGCGAGACAAAAGTGTAACAGAAATCAGTAAAACGTATTTGTGTAGTTTGAATTGGAAGTGTTCAATCGCTAATGCAAATTCTTAGGAGGACTAGAGGAAAACAATTAAAATGAACGTGAATCATTAGCACGAATCAGTTAATAAACTTGTGCATAGGTTAAGCGCAATTAGTCCAAAAATGGAAGAATATATTGTCTAGTAATTGTTATTTTCAACTGCCTCGAAACATCTATACATATCTTACACCTGTTCCTTAGTAAGTCGCTTATAATTAGGCAAGCGTTTCTGACCTGCGTTTAGAAGAATCGGAGCATCAGTGCATGTCGGTTAGTTAATTGAAAGGAGTTAAGTTTACTTCAAAAAGGGCAGCTTAAGTGCACACCCAGATTAGAGGTTAAGAGAAATAGCTTAGGGAATTAGAGGTGTGCTAGTATTGGTATTTTCCTAACACCGGGACCTCGGTTTTCTCTAACCCGTGCGTCTGTATAACGCCATAGAGAAAAGTAGGGATGATCAGGGGTACCACAAGGTTCGCATCGAAGTATTAGCGTGAAAAAAGCTCGGTTTTTTAGTTTTTCATGTTAAGTTCGCGATTACGAATTGATTTTCGAAAGGCCTAAAGGGCTTAGCATGGAAATATCGGTCGCTCATACATTTTGGGGCATATTTGTTGCTGTAGACCCTTCGAAAGTGTCCTAATATTCGCAACTCAGTTATGTCGCAGCACCGAATCTGCGAAAAAATGACTCGAATGTTTATTAATAAACGAGCAGGTAATGCAGTAGATCAGTCTTTTTTATTAACTGTCAGTTGATTACAGTTACTCTCCCGTGATGATGAAATTTCTCTTGACTTGAATTTGCTTTCCAAGGCATCTACATGCCCAATAATTGCTAGGGAACGAGAAGGCTGATCGAGTGCCGAAATCATTTCTTACTTCGCCCGAACCTTCGATCTCGTACAGTGGCCCACCGACAGGGATAAATGCACCTGTAGAACAATAGTTGTAGGAGGTATGAGCCAATCAAACGCCACTAACGCCTGACTGGATTTAATTGCGCAGGTTTATGTATTTCGGTGCCAGATCGGTTCATCGATTGACTGATTTCTCATCTAATGCTCACGCTTCAGTAAATTCGCGGTTTGTTTTGCTTCTGGCAAATGCGATTATTTTCGTGATTTCGAAGTTAAATTCGTGACCCGTTGCGTTAATGTCGGCAGCCAATCGTGATAATCCGTCACCCCGTCGCAGGACCAGCTTATGCTTGTATACTTGCTATCCGAGCATGCGTTCCATATGGCCTATGTGAGTACAAATGCGGTTTAGGCACGAGATGCGACAAATCACACACAACTGCTTATTGAGAATTCAGTGTAATTCAGGATATACATAGGTGATACAGGCAGAACCTTAGAAAACCCTATTTACAGATAGACGGATGAGAAGCATGCACATATATGCATAACAAATATTCCAGCCATTGATATTGAGCAAATATTTGACCGTCAAGCGTAAATTTATCATCTCTTTTTTGAACGTTTCAATGTTTTCCGCCAAGACAACGGAATTCGGCAAATCAGTCCATCCTCCAACCTGCCGATGGAAGAAGAATCCGACCCACACTTCAAGCCTGGCATATTTTATCTTCAATTCATATTGGTGGCCTCGAAGATCGGTCGTTCGCGTCAGTTCGAAGAAGTCGTCGAACCGAAGAGCATAGTCTAACCCTCTAACGATTCTAAAAGCCATGATTATATCCCGTTTGTACCGTCTATAAGAGAGTAAAAGTACTTTTAGCTTTTTCAGACGTCTCTCATAAGGTAAGAAGTTTAATCCGCCGACCAGTTTCGTTGTTCTTCGTTGTACGTTTTCTAATATGATGCAGTCTTGTTCGCCCAAAGACACCCTGTTTGAACGCAATACTCCAACGCTGGCTGAATAAATGTTCCAAATGCTCAGTCGAAAACTTTGTCAAAATTGAGAAGGGATCTCCTTGTCGCGCCCAGGATATCCACGGTCTTCTTTGATACCTTAGCACGTTGGGACGAAAGTTTGAGATTTGACGTCATGCACACACCGAGCTCTACTAACTCGCTCACGGATTCCAGTTGGTGACCTCCCATAGAGTAGTGAGATTCAAATCTCAACGGCCTCGTGTTGCTCGATCGTAACTGGATAAGCGGGCATTCGGTAAGAGGTTACGACATCACTCATCATACCATTGTTGCAAGCGATTTAGATTGTTTCGTAACTGCAATGAATCTTCCTACTTCTCTATTGGTTTCCGCAATTTGAGGTCATCGGCAAACGTTACGCGCTCGCAGTTCAGACTGTTCAGGCAGTCGTTCGCATATATTAAGAACAGAACTGGACCCAGAACTCCCTTCTGCGGAACGCCACTTTGAACGGTTACATATTCCGATTTAGACTTTCCGATAAACACACGCCGAGATCTGCCCGAAAGAAAATCAGCTTACCATTTCGGCAGTTTCCCATTCACGCAGATTTGACGTCGTTCAAATAAAAATCGTATGTGTGCAACATCATCAAATGCTTTTCTGAAGTCAATGTACACGGTGTCGACTTAAACCTGGTTAACTAAACACGTGGACGACCGTGAGCTGGTCTTGCCTGGCTACCAGATGCTTAGAAGGGATAGGAAGGGGCGTCCGGGAGGGGGCGCAATCATGTACGTGAAAAATGGCATAAACGTATCAGACAATACCGATACATTTTCGTGCAGTTCCGAGGCAATCTGGCTGTCTATTAAAGTGGCGAGCTCGCTCAGCCTCGATGTCCTGGCAGTTAATCGACCGCCGAGACGGGGCAACATGGCCGACTAGCGCCTGCTGGGGGAACTCGAAAAGTTCGCTACGCGATCGGATATCCTGATCATGGGCGTTTTTAACGCGCCTCATACTGGCTGGAGTTCGACCCATGCAAATAGCTCAGAACAGACCTTCGACTAGAGTTTTCTGAAGACGACACTGAAGTTATTTATCAATCAACACATCGCGTTTCGAACTAGAGTATGAGAAGGCAAACAGACCAACTGCATTGATCTTGTCCTTACGAAATCACCGGACAGCATTGATATGCCTACCCTCATTAGGTAAAAGTGACCACGCCGTTCTTCTCTGGGATTACTCGCTCTTTTCCATGCCAGAGAAACCCATGACAGTTAGAAGAAACCGCTGACGCGGGGATTGAGACCCAATGACGGCCGAAATTTTACGCATTGATTGGGGATTCGTATTTGTTGGGAGCATACTCGAAGACTGGCAACAGCTCCGAGAAATGCCTCACAGGCTGATTGTAAACCACTGTCCGCTTTCACGGAAGAGGTTAACTTATAGACCTCGATGGCTTACGCAAGCCTTTACGAATGAGGTGAATAAAAAACGGAGGCCGTGGAAAAGGTCGCTTTCTGACAGAAGTCCTACATCTATATGTAAGTCCAAAGTTCAAAGAAGTCGAGTCAAGGGCCTTATCCTCAAAACTAGAAGAGAATTTGAACGGCATTTGCTTCACCGTGCCGCGGAGAACCCCTTTATTATCCTACGGTTGCATAAAGCAGTGTACACGGATCAAGGACCCAATACCACTGATAAGAATGTTGAAGGCGAACATCTCATGGAAGACTGAGCGAAAGCTGATCATTTTTCAGAGTTTTTTCGGTCTGTTTTAGTAGTGAAACAGAATTCAACCCTTCTGCCCTTCAACCCTTCGAAGACACAACAATTATGGAGACCGTTCAGTTCACTGAGTAAGTGGTTCTGACGGAGTTGTTGAGGCGAAATGAATCGAAATCACCAGGTCCCAGTGAGATTCCGGCGAAGATTTGGAAGGAATCCGCCGGTGAGTTGGCTAAACCACACCCTATGCTTTTCCATACATCCTTCGAGACCGGATATCTGCCACCCGACTGGACGTCAGCGTGGATTATGCCGCTGTCCAAGGGTAGAAGTCGGATCACTGCGTACTATTACAGACCTGTCAGCCTCGCCTCCATTTGTTGCAAGATTATAGAGAAAATAATAAAGCAACAATTCATGCAGTTCCCTGAACAAAACCATCTGCTTTCCGATTCCCTGCATGCATTCTGAAAAGGCAGATCCTGTGTGACAAACTTGCTCAACTGGCTGGAACTCTTGACTCCGGCTGTTGATAGATAAGATATTGTGCATGACATCTATATCGTCTTTAAAAAGGCCTTCGACAGTGCGCCTCCCCACCGCCTTCTATACAAACTCAACCATAGGGCAATGCTTTGATGGGACCCCGACGGGTCTTTAATAAAATAATTTAATTTAATTAATTTAATATAATTTATATGAAGATTCGAAGCATTTTACTCGGCCGATC